TAATCTCGGGACCGATGGTTACCCCCGATAATCACGCCGCAGACAGTTGCTCATCTCGGCCCCTACCGAGCTCCCCGGTAGGTCAGACCTGGGCCAGGTTCACCTCGGCCCTCATACTTAGCATTTGTCGGCGTTGGTGGCGGCCATCTCGGCTATCCGAGCTGGGCATGACTCATGAGCCATCTTGGAGCACCAATAGGGGTCCTCCACGTGTCCAGGGTACTCCGTTCCCTAAACAACATGCATCATGAAATGAGTTGTTTCTTAAAAAAAGAAGAAGGTGGACAAATTTTTACTCTACCTTAGGTATTATATATATATATGGGATGACTATCATGGTATTTTTTTTTAAAAGATGAACTAAGTACTATCATGATACATACTCCATTCAACTTTTAAACTTTTGTTGAGTAACGATTCCGTAAAATTTTTATAATTTTTTCGTTGCTTCTGTCTTTTTCATTTACTTACTATTATATTCTTCGTCAAAATCTTTACTTTTTATTGGCGGATGAATAATCGTTAATAAAATTTGAAATATGAATGATCTTTAACCAAAAGCTAAAGATGGTATAACATTGACGTGCAATAATCATTAATATTTTATGTATTTTATTGAAGATTCAAATCCATCAATAAAAAGTGAAAATATTGACGAACAATTGATAGGTAAAAACCATACATTCATTTAGGAAGGTCGTGACCCATTAAAATAAATGTATATATATAATAATAATAATAATAATAAAATGATATGCCTATTGCTTATGTGATTGAATCTTATTGGATGGAACATAAACTATAATAGACTACAAAATTTTATCGTATGAATGATAGGTAAAAGATTAGTTATTTTAATATACCAGCGTCAAGTATGTGATATCCATTATTATTTTTAATATATTCTCTTTTAACTTTTATATTTTATGTTGTTGGATTTATTAGAGTTTGTTGGAGGTAGATCTCAGCATACACGTGTCGAGGAGACAAGTAGATGTGGAGGATGACACCTGGACACTAGTTTCCGTAGACAACTACCCCAAGTGTTCACGTTTCGGCTCATCCGTTTAACTGAGCCGAACCATTCCGATGGCTGAGCCGAATAAGCGTATTCATAATCATGTTCCCATATCACTGGTTGAACTGATTAGCTTATCTCAGCTCAGTTCCACCTCCGACATACTCCACGATAACACGCCGCGTTTCACGGTAACCTTAAAGAGCTGTTGAGGCCTTGTCGGGAACACTGTCGGAGTCTTCGCCTATAAATAGAACCATTCCGTTCATTTAAAGGTACGTGAATATTTTGATTCTCTCTCGATTTGGTTCGGATTTTCATTGACTTTGGCATCGGAGTGTTTACTCTGTTTTGCAGGTCTTCTACCTGACATTCGGAGCTTACTGTCCAGCTCATCCAATCCAAACCGAAGTTCGTAGAGTTGGTCAATTTCTTGATTTAACAGAGTTAGAAATTTCTTTACGTAGTTTGCATTATTTTATTGCTTCACACATTATAACTTTATATTTTGTGTTTGTTATAAGGTGCATGAATGTCAATCAAGTCGACTTTTTTTTACGAGGCAACTTTTTGATTTGATGTTCAGTATTTAAAATTTATTCTGAATATATATATATATATATGTGAGTTTCGGATGGTTATACATACACCATTTAAGAAGACAACTGGATATAAATTGCCAAGAAAAAGAAGAAAAAAAAGAAAAGGACGCTCGACGAAAATATATGACAATATATGTTGTATATGCACCATCCAAAGAAAATTGGCAATGGTAAATCGTTGAGAAAAAAAAAACACGACTTAAAAGTTCAATTTTAAAACATGTTAAAATGTCGAGAAAGTTTGAGCATAAAATCGTAAAGATAAAAAGATAATAATGAAGACGAATCAAAGTTGAATTCAAAGAAAGCAAAGCGAGTATGGTTCAGAGATAATTGACATATATATCTAACTAAGAGGTTGTGAATTCAATTCCTCGCTTCAATATTAAAAAAAAGTTAAATTTAGAAAAAAATGCAAAAAATATATATATCATAAAAAGAAATAATAGGGGGGAGAAGTGGACTAGAAAAGATGAAGCCTAAATTTAAGTAGGTTTAACATGCGATCCTCAAGAAAATATGGAAAAGATGTAGAAATTAAAGATTGTTTGAGTGGGACCCTCTTAGTTTGCGTGACATTTGATGTATATATATGAAATATATATTGTTGGGGTCGAAAATAGTACCGTCACGTGGAGAACAGAGGAAGGTCGGAAGGACCAGGTCTCTCCTGAAGAATTAGAAGTATGAACGACATTCAAACTTAATCCTGGAATCGCACAGATAAAAACTCATTCGACTGAAGGACCTGCCTATATCTTCTGGACATGATAGCTCAACCTTTAGTAATAAATTATCCGACAATCGAAATCGCTGGTCGAATAGCTTGTCGAATATTTCTCCTATAAATAGAGGACTTCATTCTGACATTAGGTACACCTTCAAGCTTAGTCTCTTTACTAGGATCGAACTTAAACTTATTTGAGTGTCGGAGCGTTGCATGCTTCTCTTTTGCAGGTCTTCCCTAAGTCAAGTGACACGTACTCAAGCTTGTTCCAATCGCCTACCTTGACCAAAAAGTTGCATAAACATATATAAATGTCATGCACCATAGTTTATTTAAAATTTACATTTAATAATGAGAAACTCAAAATAATGCATTAATCTACATGATTGCATGAGATATTTAGGTTTGAAATTTAAATAGTTGCTACATAGTAACTTTAGGGTATATAATATCAAATCAAACAAAACATACAAGATTAGGTTTAATTTTTTTACTAAATTATATTGAACTATTAGATTTGATCAGATAAATGAAATGCCTACATTTGGAAAAGAATCTCGAATATGTGAACGAGTTTTGGTTGAAGCTTGAAATCAAAGTAAATACATAAAAGGTGAAAATTCTCAATCTATTCGAGATATAGAAAGTAGTTTTACTGTCATTGACAATTTTTTTTCTTGAGTACAAGATGCGGGGTGGGGGATCGGACTCACAACCTTTTGATTGGAGACATATGTCAATTACCGCTGAGCTATGCTTACTTTGATATTGCGATTGACAATTAGAGACGTAAAACAAGATGAAAAATCATATGATACTATGCTTTGATACATAAGCTAGCTTCAAATTGAAGAGATTTTATTTTTTTATTATATTTTTTCCTATCCTACTACGTACTCTTCTCGATTATAATAAATGAGTGGATCTCAAAATAATTAAATATTAATAGAGCTAAAAAAAATTCCATACAAAATAACCCTTATCATTTGTTTACATTAATTTAAAATTTAAATTATTTATAATATTGAATTTATTAGAGTAGGTTTCTTGAAGTGCAAAGAAGAGGGAGAGGGGTCTTGGGAAGGAAAAACAAAGAAGAAGTTAATATTCTACTTTTTGATGTTTTTAATTTATAATTTAGTCCTTAAATTTCTAAGTTTGTGCTTGAGAGCCCTGGAACTTAATTTTAAATTGTCTAATTAAGTCCTTGAAGTTTTAATTTTGTGTATAATAGGGTCATTGAACTTTAAAAGATGTCTAATAGGCCCCTAAATCTTTAATTTTGTGTCTTATAGGTCGTTGAACTTTCAACCATGTGTCTAATAGATTTTTGGCCAATCGACATTTATTAAAATTCGCAAATTCATTTGGCACAAAAATTGAAAATTTAGAGTCATATTAGATTAAAAAAAATTCATTTTATGTCTAATAGATCTATTAATTTTAAAAATGTTGAATATATATATCATTGATCTATTTATATATCAAATTGAAAGTTCAAAGCGATCTATTAGACACTTTTACGATTCAAAGACGTATTAGATACAAAATTGAAAATTTAGAGACCTATTGAATACACTTTTAGAGACTAAACTTGTAATATATATAGAGCTAAATTATATATACACCAGCACAGGAAAATATAAAGTCATTAAGGAAAAGAAGATGATAATCAAGATAAATCAAGTTTCAATATAAAATAGGTTAAATTTATGTCTGTCATACCTTAAGGAAAGGAAAAAAGAAAAAAGAAATAGAAACATAAGTTATGAAGAAAAGTAAATGAATTAAGTATTAGTGTAGAAAATATGATTGAATATAGATAAAGGGCACAAGTTGAAAAAAGAAAAGAAAATCATAACAAGAAAATGAATCAAAGATCAATAAAAAACATGTTAAATATAAATATTATAAAAGAATATAAAGAAAGACAGACGAACATAATTCAACGGTAATTGATATACAGGTTGCGAGTTCGTTCTCCCACCACACATATTGTACTCTAAAAAAAGAGATGAATGATTAAATAAAGATACGAAGGTTAAATAGGTTAACAGACACCACAAAATAAATAAATAAATAAATGTGTAAAAGATGTAAAGAAAAGAGAAGATTATAACAGAAGTATTATTCATTTTTTTATTAGTTTTAAAATTCATATATCATTACTCTTTTCATATTTAGGGATTATAAGGATTTAATTAAAAAAATTCAATTAACAAGGAACATAATTGAAATTTTAAGTCAACCAGAGCCTTAACTTATCATAGGCTAAAAGTTTGTAGTTTCGAATGTTCATGTTGTGTTAAAAAAAAGAAAAGAAAAAAATTGAAATTCCTAAAAATTAAAGACTAAATTGGAAAAAGTTCAAAATATAGATTAAAAAATATATTTAACATTAATTAATATCTCTTATAATATGTTGAAGCATAGTTCAACACTAATTGGTAGCTACTTCTTTTCTCTCAAGGTCGGAGGTTCAAAAGCCCATATCTCTAATTTGTTGTCCAAAAAAAAATCTATCGTGTAATATGGGCTATGAAAGAATCAAACTCCATGCGAGAAACTCCGCCGTCTTCAACTGATCGCCGCACGACGGCTCCGAGCTCCTTTGCTCTTTTTCTCATCTCCCGTCCTTCCTCTGATGCAATCAATTTCCTCACTACACTTTCTACTGTCGTCGCCATGACCAGTTCATCCTGGCGAGCCCAGTCCCTAACGAGCAAACCCACCCGGAGCACCTCCGTCATTAGTACAGCGTTCCTCGGTTGGTCGGAATGCATCGGCCATGCTGCCACCGGAACCCCCATTGTTAAACTCTCCATGCACGAGTTCCACCCGCAGTGACTCACAAACCCTCCTGTCGACCCATGCCCCAAAATCTGTAGCTGTGGCGCCCAATCTCTCACCACCAACCCTCTCCCCGCCACCCTCCTTTCGAACCCCTCCGGTAGCTCCGATACTCTAACGTCTCCATCAAACACATCTCCTTTATCAGCGTCTCTCAACACCCAGATGAACTTCTGCTCGCTTCTCTCCAACCCACCTATAGCAAAGAAGGAAGGAGAATAGACGATTACCTCTGACCTCTATTTATTTTGAAATTTAAAAAATTTGGTTCCGGAGTTTGAAGATAAATGTATATTTGGTCCTTAAGTTTCAAATATACATTTAGAACTATTTTTTTAAAGATTATGACTAAATCGTTAGTTTTTAAATCTTAAGAACCAAGAATAAAGGTATATTTTACCCTAAAAAGTTAGAATATAAAATTTTGTCAAGATAAATATTTAGGGCTCCACTCGCACCAGCAATCTCTGCAACTTGCTCGTCTTCCAAGGCGGTCGTCGATCCAAAGGACACGTAGACCACTGAACTAGTCTTTTGCTGGTCCAACCAGTCCAAGCAGGGGTGAGTGGGCCCTCTTGAGCCCAATTCCACAGGGTTGATTGGGCCTATGGCCCAATGCCTAGTCTCATGGTTGATGCTTTTGAGAATCTCCAAATAAGGTTCTTCAATGGCTTTACAACTATTGTGGAGATTCCCAGAGAACTTTTTTGGGACTCCAAATTGGGACTCCAGAAATTCCCAAAACTCCGGAGTGAAGCAACCTTCAAGAGATGGAATATTCAGATCTCTAATGGAGTTTTTGTCGCTTCCATCGGTTTGCTCAAGTTCATAAATGGCCAGGGTGAAAACTGAGATGCAGTTGTAATTGTAAGATTCCGCGTTTGGTATGGAGTCGATGTCTTCAACGGTCGATGCCATTAGAGAATCATGAATGACGACCACTCTTCTTGCATTGGAAGAGAGCGAGCGTAAGAGACGGGTGAGAGGGTGGCGGAGGTGGACCACAGCAATCCGAAACGAAGGGATGAGTTGGGCGGGGAACTTGGTGGCCGCCTTGGGGTCAGGCGGAGGAGAGGGGAAAGGAGGGATGGTGAAGTCATGGAAATGGAGGTTCGCAAGTTCGCTCGGGTCCCAACCGTGGACGCGGAGCTTGGCCTGGCGGTTGTGGGTGGCAGTGCCAATGTAGTGCACTGGGATGTGGCGGGCAGAGACAAGGCGAGAGAGGTGGAGGAGCTGGTTGAGATGGCCCTGTGCGGCCAAGGGCACCATGACGACCACCACTTGGCCGTCGTGAGTCATGGTCGTTTCTTAGCGCAGTGGTAAAAGGTTTGGGATGTTGCTACGTAAATAGGTGATGAGATGAGGGGAAGAGAAAGACTTCTTTGGAACTTTTCGTGGGAAATCTATAGTTTAATTATGCATCAGTTTCAATTGGTTATATTATATCTTGCCTTGTTCATATCTAACTTTAATATTAAGGCTTAACAATCTTATATTAAATTAAAACTTCATCAATAATTGGTCTGTATAGCTGTCTATGTGTATATAATATATATTTACAAAGTAATATTTAATTTGTCTCGTTAAACACAAGCATATTAAAAAAGACTCACTGACCTGGAACTTTGGGTAACTAAATTTAATAGTATTAATTCAAAACTAGGGTGTATTTGGCTTTTTGCCTGAGTTCAAAGTTCATTAGTTCAACATTGTATTGTACTAAAAAAAAAAAGAAAAACTAAACATATTTCTTTTTCAGTTCAACACGTAAGGGGGTAGAAATTCAAATCTCTCACTATTAGGAGGGGTAATGGGTGTGTTTTAACCTATTTGGTAAGATTTCGGCTTCGCGTTTCTTGTTTCTGGTTTTCAATTTTTGAGAAACATAAAATTTTGTAACCTTTTTTGTTTCTCGTTTCGAATTTTTTAAGAAACGTTTCTAAAATCAAGTTTTTATTTCTAGTTTTTTCCAAAACATAGATAAAAATATTATTTTATCAATTTTGATTTATAGCATGCATAATAAATATAAAAAATAAATATAATACAAAAATTTTGAATATTTAATTTAAAAAAATCAATTTCATATAAAATTATATAGAAAAAAAAATCAAAGAAATAATTATTAAACAGGTTTCTGTTTCTCTTCTCGATAAAAAAGAAAAAAAACAAAAGACAAAAAATATTGACAAGACAATTATATTTTTCTTGATTGTAAAGGAAGAAACTGGAAAAAAAAAACCGAAAAATAACGGGAAACAACAAATATTACCAAAGAATTATAAAATATAAAATGTTCGCCCAATACGGGGCAATTGGGCATAAAATAAACTTCTTGTTTAATCCAATGACACTTCTAAATATTAGTTTACGATAATTACTGTGAAGGGTTGAGTTTATTTAATTTGCTTACTTTAATATTTCTAAATTTGAAGAACATGCAGTGTTTTACTTTTGCCCACATCATTTCTTTTTAATACAACATGTGAGTATCATTTGGTCGGACAATAGGTGTCTTAATCAATTGTGATGTAAAAAACCTATTACTATGTCCTTCCACAATTATTTAACAAATCCCAAGTCCAAATAACGCAATAAAAGGAATAGAGAAAGCATAGTAAACGACACAAGAATTTATACTGGTTCACCGAACTATGGTTGTGTCTTGTCTTTCGCATTGTGCGGGTTCTACTACGATTTGGGATAATATAATATATTAATATTCATGGGGTTCCATCTCAAAACCAATTGGCAATGAGAGGAGTAGCCAATGTCTATTATAAACCATTGTTAAGTCCCTTCTTTTATCAATGTGGGATCCTTAACACAATGAGCCTCACAAATGCTCCACAAAACTCTCTCTTTAGATGCCACAACAATGACCACTTAGCTTCTAAGTACTACGTCAATCGCTACTTAGGAATATAAGAATGAAAAACACCTCATTGTAACACAAGAATGAGTTGCCGACAACGCACTACAAACCGAGGAACTCAATCTCCTTTTTCTCTACTCAAAACGGCGTTGCCCACTTCTTTGTCTGCCAGTTAAAACCAAAAAGGGTGAAAATTGTCGTTTTATAAATTGTGATAATGCCTATAGTGTTGTGGCGCTACCTCATCGACTTGAGTGGCTCTGCAGTCGCTTCTTCGATACTTTTTCATCCTTGCTTTGTCCCGATCCGTTCTGGCACCGTTCTGGCTCCATAATCCAAACAATCTCCCACTTGGAGACAAAATGACAAGTTCGCCTCCCATTGTGTTGATGCTGAGATTTTGGCTTCCTTGGTTCTCGTCAAATACGCACCAAACTTGATGATCATAGGACCGGATACCTGCAAAACCGAGCAGCTCTAATCGGTGTGACTTCGGTCACATGGGCTCTGATTCTTAAGTCAGCGTTGGGAGAATTACTCAGTAAAGTAATTAGAGTTTATTTGCTTACCTCTAGGGTTCAACCAGTGGTTCCATTTATAGGAACTCGGTCTTCTGGAACCTTCTAGTTGAGCCCATCTAATCCGTCGTTGCTGGATCACAGGGATTCATAGATTGGGACGCCTCAACCAACGGGAGAGGAGAGAAAGTGGGCCCGACCAATGGGCCGTGCCTTGCTTGGCGCCGAGCAGGGGTCAAGACCGAGCCATGGTTGACTCGATCTTCCTTTCGTTGTTGCTTTGTTGGGCCTCTCTGGTTTGTAGAGACCTATTTCTTTAATCGATTTCCATCTCATAACAGCTGCCCCTACTCTCAAGATGGATGGTGAATGGAATGACAGTGTCGAGACCTCCATTTTGAGAGTTCTTGTTGCCTGGTTGTATCATCTAAGGTTTCCAACCCATTGAGTTTCTACCAAAGGTTTTTATCCAATTTTCGATTTTTACCTATCCAACTTTTGCTACTGGTTTTTACCTTGAGTTTACCAACTTTGTTTTGCCATTGTTGGCTGTTGCCTTTTGAACCAGAGGTCTTTTCAATCCCCTTGTTCTTAAGGTGTCTGATTATGGTCAAGTCTCTTGAACCTGTCTATAAGTTAGATTTTGGCTTTGGGATCTAACTTTTAGCTAAGCTAGCAATGATACTCTGGCTTTCTAACCTGTTTGGCTTTGCCAAATGATTTTATACCCTGGGCTCTTGCTTTATGTTTTGACCATGCTAGGCCTTTGTTGAACAGATCTTTGCCTATTTAGCCTGCTTCTAAGTTTGTCCCAATTTGGAGTTTCTTGACCAGCTGTAGATATTTGTACACATGTCCTCCTACTTGAGAAGTTTTGGTATAGAAATAACATAAGAGCTCAAGTATTAAGGGACGAGTTGTGTCTCAAATGTCGAAGGCTTTTATTAGAAAAGAAAATTGTTCAAATAAAGAACTAGATACGATAAAGGGATAAACAAATAAGAGTCGTAAATAACTTAGTCGACTGAGATGAGCAAAGGTCGGGGCATAAAGTGTTGGTAAAATAAATGGAATATACCACCGAACTAGTGGTAGTATCTCTTAAGGTGCTGAGCGTGCCACGGGTGGAGTAGAGCCTTTCCACGTTGATCTTCCAAAGCGTAGGTGCCCGCCTGAACTATTTTAGTAACTTTGTTTAGGCCTTCCCATGTCGGTCCAAACACCCCGCTAGTTGAGTCTTTGGTATTAGGCATAACATTTCTTAAGACAAGGCAACCTTATTTGAAGTTACGTTTCTTAACCTTTGAATTGTAGTATCGAGCGATCCGATTTTTGTACTCGGTTGTCCGTAGTCGCCCTATTTCTCGATGCTCCTTTAATAAATCGAGGTTGAGCTGCATGGATTCATCATTCTCAGGCAGATTGAATTGTTCTACCCTTGGAGAAGGGAGACCAATTTCTACTGGCACCACTACTTCAGAACCAAACGATAATGAAAACATCGTCTCTCCAGTTGATGTACAAGGCGTTGTTCTGTAGGCCTACAATGCGCAGGAAAGTTCTTCAGCCCATAATCCTTTAAATTTCTCTAATTTGGTTTTCAGAGTCCTCTTGATGATTTTGTTGACTGCTTCGACCTGCCCATTAGCTTGTGGGTGTGCTGGCGAAGAGCAAATGTGCTTAATGCCTAGCTCCCTACAAAAGTCTCGAAAAGCCGCATTGTCGAACTGTTTTCCATTATCACTGATAATGGTATATGGCACTCCAAAGTGGCAAATTATATTTCTCCAGATAAAGTCGGTGATCTTTTTCTCAGTGATTGTAGCTAGGGCCTTCGTTTCAGCCCATTTGGTGAAATAATCAACTGCTACTACTGCAAATTTGGTCTGGCTCTTTCCTTGTGGGAGGGGTCCTATGAGGTCTATTCCCCATTGGGTGAAAGGCCAAGGACTCATTATTCTTGTTAGTGGTTCAGGTGGTTTTCTAGGTATCGTTGCGAATCGCTGACATTTGTCACATTTTTTAGTAAACTACCTTGCATTGTTTAGCATGGTTGGCTAATAATATCATTGTCGAACGATTTTATGGCTTAGAGATCGTGCTCCAAAATGGTTACCACAAATGCCTTCATGTATTTCTCTCATGACGTAGTCAGCTTCTTCTGGTGCTAAACATTTTAGGGGTGGTAAAGAGTAGTCGCTTTTATACAAGTTTCCATCTCTAAGCATATACCTAGCTGCCTTTCATTGGAGTTGCTGGGCTTCAATCCTTTCATTAGGTATGGTCATATCTCTTAAATTTCTGGTCAAAGGGTTCATCCAGTTCTCCTTGAGTTACTCTTGTTCATCGATATGCATTGCCTCCTGAACCTTTATGCTTGGCTCGGACAAAATTTTTACCGGCACGGTTCTTTCCAGGTCGGTCTCATAGGCTGCAACTAGTCGGGCTAATGCATCTGCGTTGACATTTGGGACACGAGGAATTTGCCTGATCTTATATTTTGAGAATCGGCCGAGCTGGTCTCCTACCCAGGAGAGGTACCTCGCCATTCGTGGCTCTTTGGTTTGAAACTCCTATTTCACCCGACTTACGATCAACTGTGAATCACTAAGTATCAATATGTTCGTTACCCCAATGTATCTGGCAACCTTCAACCCTGCTAACAGAGTTTCGTATTCAGCCTCGTTGTTGGATGCATGAAAACTAAACCGTAGTGCATATTCGAATCTGTCCCTATCTGGGGAGACCAGTAGAAGCTCTGCCCTGCATCCTCTAAGATTTGAGGACCCGTCCACGTAAAGGGTCTAAGATTGCTCTTCCTCACCTTGCAGGGCTAGTTATGGATTGACGTCGAATTTGATGTTCTCTTGGTGTTAATTATGCTATGAATTCTCCTACGACTTGCCCTTTCATCGCAATCTGTCGTATTCACTGAGCTCTACGGCCCACTGTACCAGTCGCCCTAAAGTCTCTGGCCTTTGCAAGATTTGCCGTAGAGAAAAGTTGGTGAGGACAGTTAT